TTCACATTGTAACATAAAATGTCAGAAAAATTCCATATACCAAATTGTATTGAAATCGGTCGAGTGGATTCGAGATCATAAGAGACTTCCCCTAAAAGTGGGCGGTACCATATCCATTGTCTAATTTACATACCACCTACATTAAAGCCGTCTCTCATACCATCTCGGGTATAAAATTTAAAGCCTCTGTCGCAGTTAGTTATTGATTTATAGCGCTTTTTGTTGTTTTTAACAGTACTGGGAAAGTGAGTCAGATTACCATCGGACAAACAGACAGTCACCCAGATTTCAACTCGTCTCACCATCCTGATCATTTATATCTGTAAATACAACGGTATATCTCGATTAGTTTTAGCTGATACATACTCTGTAACAACATGTTGCAAGAACATAAATAACGAAGTTATGTTTATATATATATACGATCACTTATCAGTGCTCGCATTCACAAAGGCTGTGTTACCAAAGTAATTACATAATAAAAAATACATTTCAACCACGTCAACACCGAAGCTATAATATCTATGTGCAATCTTTTATAACATAAAAAGGCGTACAAATGTCTTAATCTTGATTAGTCAGGTAGAATGGTARCTATATGTTATAGGGGCCCGATCGTTTCGTGAAGACACCTTGTCAAATAAAAACAAAAAAAAACGTTAACTTCGGCTGGTGCAGGTGCAYTTCTTTTAGTAAATATATGTTCAGTTTATTTTGGTAGCTATATGCTATAGTAAGCTGATCTGAACAATTTCTTCTGATATTACATTGTTTATATGAACAATAACTCATACCAAATTTCGTGAAAATATCACGTCAAATGCAAAAGTTTTCCATACCGGCACTAGATTCCGATCGTTCAGTTTGTATCGTAGCTATATGCTATAATCAACCGATCTTAACAATTTCATCGGAGATTAAATTGTTGCCTTCAAAAATAATCTGCACCAAATTTCGTGAAGATACATTGTCAAATGTGAAAGTTTTCCATACAAGAAGTTGATTACGATCATTCAATTTGTATGGCAGCTGTATGCTATAGTTAACCGATCTGAACAATTTCTTCGGATATTACATTGTTGCCTTTAAAAATAATCTGCACCAAATTTCGTGAAGATACATTGTCAAATGTGAAAGTTTTCCATACAAGAACTTGGTCCCAATATTCAGTTTGTATGGCAGCTATATGTTATAGTGGTCCGATATCGGCAATTCCGACAAATGAGCAGCTTCTTGAAAAGAAAATGACGTTTGCAAAACTTCAAAACGATATCTTAAAAACTGAGGGACTAGTTCGTTTATATACAGACAGACGAACTGACAGACAGACGGACATGGCTAAATCGGCTTAGCTCAACATACTGATCATTTATATGTAAATACTTTATAGAGTCTCCGACGCTTCATTCTGAGTGTTACAAACTTCGTGACAATCTTAATATACCCTGTTCAGGGTATAAAGATTTTCATAAAACTAAAATTTAATCGGTCAGTTGTATGGCAGCTGTATGCAATAGTGATCCGATATCGACGAATCCGACTTCGTTAAAGGTAGATTAGCCTGGTAGGCTAATAAAACGCACACATAACAGGTTTTGTCCTTATCGATTCCAGATGAAGCGCCGTTACGTAATTGAAGAGAAATATTCATCCTTCAGGATGCCTGCACTTTACGCGAAATTTCAATATGTTCGGCATCACTAACTATACCACAAAAGATACTGCATTGTTTCCCCGGCACATTGCTCTTAAGATTTTCTGCAGTCATTTCGATCTGTCAGCCACATATGTACTACAGGCGTGTGYCTTCCTATTCTGCCGTGTCGGAGAGAAAACAAACTGCCTATATGGTGCGGAGGCGGAGAAAATGACATCATCTGATGAGTCGGCTTTACGAGTTTTTGCTGAAGTAAAGTTTTTGCCGTTGATATAACAATGAGCTTCACGAGATATACGGATGGAGGGGAACACTCCAGCTTTGAAGGTTTTCGATTCAGTACTCGCTGGTGGAAGCAGAGGAAGACAAAATGGACAATGGCAAATGTTTGGTTTATATATACATATATTATAAATATATATTATAACAGGTAGGTTCAGATTATGAGGCGGATAGTTTTTAATTAAAGAGTTTAAACAAACATTAAGTTTCTTTTTATTAATTTCACAGCAATATAATAATCGGAAGTTTATGATACAAAAGCATATGTTAACTTTAACTAGATTTACAAGGAGCGTTCCAAAGTAGACAGGACTTAACAAAACAGAACAAATGGTTTTTTTCGGCAAAATCAATTTATTTTATTCAAATAGTCTCCGTCTGCTGCAAAACAGCTTTTGCGCGGTCCAAAAGCATATCGAACGAGTGTTTTAGCTCGTTGGCCGGTATAGGCAAATGCATTTTTCCAAAAAGGAAGAAGTCGCACGGTGCCATATCAGGTGAATACGTGGAGTGGTTAATGGTTAAAATGTGATTTTTGGTCAAATAATCGGTCAGAAGCGTCGAATCGAATGTTGGATTCTGAGCAATTCACGGACAGTTTCGATGGAATTTCCTGTGATCACGGATTGTGATCGGCCCACATGTAAATCGTCATTTATGTCCTCACGACCACTTTGAAAACGTTGAAATCATTCGTGCACTCTGTTACGAGATAGGCAATCATTGCCATAAACTTGTTTCATCAATTAAAATGCTTCGGTAAAGGGTTTACCAATTTTAAAACAAAATTTAGTGTTGGCTTTTTGCTCGAAGCTCATTTTCGCACCGATAACACAAACATAAGTGTCTGTAACCGYAAAGACTTCACTTCCAATCAATGAAATTTCTGGACAATCGATAAAGATAGCAATTTCCAACGCACCAGTCAACATATAGATGRCACCACCATGTATTGTGTTACGGTAAAATTTGTTTACAATGCGTGGTGTAAGTGAAGAAATTAAAAGAAAAGTTAAAAGATAGATATCTGCTGAGCAATCTGCCCGCGATATTGGCAAGGAGCTTAAAATCAGCCATACAACGGTTTTGCGGATAGGAAAGAATAGCAACCTGGAAAGGCTAACATGCAATAAAGGCGGGAGACCCCAAAAAAAAATCAAATTCGTGAAGCTAGACATGTTGGACGATTTCTTATATCTAACAAATTGACTACCCCAAAGCAAGGACTATCGCTTTTAACGCAAAATATTAGTGTCTGGACATTGCGTCGCGAAGAAACCCGTTTTGACAAAAAAAAATGTTTCTGCCCGAAAGGATTTCCTGACACGCCACGAATACTGGGCGTGTGATGACTAGAAACGTGTAATTGTAAAYGTTAATTATTTGTGGGCAGTCTTTAATTGAACTTCTTTAAGGTGATTTGGTCAGACGAGACCAAAATTAACCRATTCCAGTCAGATGGCCGCTCTTTGTACTGGTCAAACACCTCAGGACCACTTCAACCCCATCAAGTAAAACAAACTATAAAGTTTGGAGGTGGATGTTTAATGATTTGGAGGTGTATTACGCAGTATGGAGTTGATCCTATTGTGAAAATTGATGAAAAGATGAAAAGAGAACAATATTTGGACATTTTAAAAACAAATTAGCCGATTGCTATGGATATGGTTCGCTTGCGGGAGAACCGGATTATATTCCAACAGGACAATGATCGTAAACACTCTTCAAAATTAGTGCAAAATTGGTTGAAATCGCAAAGTTTTTCAACAATGAGGTGGCCTGTGGCAAAAGGCATGCAGGAGCTTTGGGAGCGCGTCGAGGACGAATGGTACTCAATATCACCAGATTTCTTACAAAAAGTGTACGGGAGCATGCTGCAAAGACTGAATGCTTTAAAAAGGGTGAAAGGATTGTGGACGGACTACTACACTAATGAAGAAAATATAATTATTTGTATGGATGCAAAGGTGGAACAATGGAGAGGTTTTGCCACATTTTTGTCATTTTCTTTTTTTGTTTTACGAGTGAATTTGTCATTTTTTTTAATAGTGTAATATATTAAATTTTTTTTCTACAAAAATATATATGTATATGCTTGCAATTTATTGCATCAAAGTTCATTTATGTAATTATTCTTCCAGTTTTGCTCTTCAGTGTAGATGGCGCCACCAGGGGGCGTTAGATTCATAAAGTCCTGTTTACTTTGGAACACTCCTTGTATGCATATGTGTATACTTATTCATACATATGTATGTATATACAAATGTGTGTTCCTGATTTTTTATGTACATCCAAAYAAGGCTTAATAGTAGCTTATACTTTCTTTGGCTTAAAGTGAAAGAAATACATATATTATTAGCAAACGATTTTTCGAATAATATTATATGTAATAATTTGTAAATATATACACAGTTGTCATATATAACAGTTCTGATACATAAACAATTCGCATTAAGCTTAATATAGGCTCATCATCTGGTCTTATCATCTCATTGTGATTGCATTTGAGTGTAGTTTTATGGCGAGAGGAAACGTCTTAAAAAATTGTGTGTGAAGTATACATATGTATGAGAAAAAATAAAAATAATAATAAATAAGTTTTACAATGAAAGACCATAAAAAATTGTATTTTAAAGTATAACATTTATTTTATAAAATTAACTAAATGCCAAAAGTTTTTAAATGAAAATGTTCTATTTTTTAAAATTTATAACTTAAAAGTATTTTTTTGTTATAATTTAAATTGTTTGAATGRCAGCGAGTTGGTTTCTTTTTGGCTTGACTTCTATTGATTTGTACTCTTATTTATAGAATATTAGTTAAACAGGGTTGCAATTTTTTTAATTCAAATATTGTGGATTAGATTTTCAATTTTCAAATGTAAAATTGCACTTTAATATTTAAAACCTAAATATATCTAAATTTGTGATCAAAAATTTAAAATTTTACTTTATAATTTAAGAAATGAAACATACATTTAATTTCTAATACCAAAMTCAGTATAAACATTTCTGATATATAATTTATTTCTAAAAATTAATTTTGTATCAAGTTTTTGGGATTAAAATATTTCTTTATATTTGTATTTGGAATTAAAGTTTTTTAAACCCGGTATTTGGGATTAAAAGGTTAAAAATTAGTTTAGTTAAGATATACGGGATTACAAAATAAAAAATATKTTAGGTTAGGTTAGGTTAGTCTGGCAGGCAAAGACCAATTATGTTCCTTTGGTATACCAGAATGAAATCCGTTACTCTTTTAGGTTGCCTACACTTGATGTGAAATGTTAATTCAATTATTTTTTGAATGCCTTATTAGCAACCCTGTGTGAAAGTAATTTTATTTTAACCAAAATGCATTACTAAAGACATACAATATTTTGTAAGTGATTGTTAAACAATTCGTTAAAAGAAAATGCCCATCAACTAACTTATCGGTAGGCGATTACTTCGCCGAAGACATGTTTTCTAAGCAATTTATAACTTAAACTAATATATTTCGATTGAACTTTATAATTTATAATAAATAAATTATAAAACCATTAAATATATGTAATCATAAGTTCTTATATAAAAAAAGAATACGTGAAAGAGAAAAAGCAGGACAATTATTTTATGAACAAGTGAAACATCTTTWTAGCGCAAATTTAAGGTTAGGTTTTGTAGAGTGGCATTAGAAACGGTTTTGTGACACAATTCCAATAATTAAAAAGTTTTAAATGCCATAATAAAATATAAACTGCAAAAAGCTTACGGTACATCGTTAGCATTATATTTTTTTTAATTTTACAACTTTATATCAAGCACTGTTAATTATATACCTAAACTATTGTATATGTACAGAATTTCATACATACGAAAATGTTATTTGGTGAGTATTAATCTTTGAAAACTAAACAACAACAACATAAAATAGCAATAAATAAGCAAATGGGAAATGAAATGAAGATTATTGTATTTATCTAACATAGGAATCATTCGTATTTCTCCTCTTTGGCTGTCATAAACATTTTTTGGCACGCGTAAGTGAATTGGTCTGTAAATGATAATAAAGATAAAGCATTATATAGATTACACGGAGTACACATAAAATACATACTAATTGCAGACTGTAAAATCTTTGGCTTATCCTTCCACACAACACCAACGTAGTAGAACGGCACACCTACAACCGTTATCAGAACACCCATACCCACTTCATAGGGGGCTACATAGACAGGCACGATCACCAGAAAGGCACATATCACAACAAACACAGCTGGAATCCAAAGCGAAACCTACAAATATACATACGTACATATGTATGTATATTTTATGAATGAGGAGTCATAAAAAGCAATTAATTGAATGATTGCCACTCGCATAGACTAGATTTGAAATTACCTTAATTGGACGTTCCATATCGGGGCGAGTATAGCGGAAGAACAACACCGCCGACACCGAAAGCATTATGAAAAACGACTCCACTATGCTGCTGTAAGTGATGAGCACATAAACATCGCTCACGACGAGCATGATAATGGACAAAATGCACTGAAATAAAAGCGTTAAATTGGATTATACTAAGCAGCAGTTCAAGACAGCTATGAGCATGTAATTCATACAAATTATGGACAGTTAAATTACCAAAAAGACCAGCGATGGCACCGGCGTAAATTGCTTGACACTGATGTTGGACAAGATGGCTGGCATGTGACCGTTGCGCGCACCCACAAAACACATCCGCGAGGAAGTCATTATATGCACCGAGAGCCCGCCAAAAGCCGATATCGCCACCATAATGGGTATAATGAAGGACCATAGACCCAACACACGGTTGCCAAAGGACTGTAAGAGTTACATATGTACAGTTATTATATTTATTTTTGTAAATCTAAACTCTTAGTTGACCTACCACTGCTATGGCATCGGAGGCAATCATTTCCGCGGGCGCCAACACCGCCAAATAGGCCATATTAGCGAGCACATAAATAGCCGTAACCAGTGGCAATGAAATGTAGATAGCGCGTGGCAGATTTTTATATGGGTCACGCAGTTCTTCTGTCATGAAATTCAAGTAATTCCAGCCGGCATAGGAGAAAATGCCCGAGTAGAAGGCAACCGACAGTTTTCCGGGATCGGTCTGTGTGTTTTCAAAGGGTTTGTCAAAGTTCTGCACGTGACCTAATTTTCAAAAATGATTAATATATGAAATACATTTGAGAATTAAGGTCATATTTACTTACCCATGCACATCCAAACTACGCCCACAATGATAATTAGCACCAAAGCTGCTATTTTAGTGAACATAATTACATTTTGCATTTTCGTCGTTACTTTCATATAACACGAATTGAGGTAGGTCAGGAAGCAGATGGTTACAGCGGCTAGCAGTTGTAATGCACCCTCCGGTATGCTGCACTCATTGTCGAAGAAGGGCTGCAGCACATACGAGGCGAAGGTGAGGCCCATAATGGCATTCGTTGTAGGRCTATATGTATACAAATTTATTGAACACATGAAAGCTAATTAATTTATCAAAATATGCATATGTATAATGAATTAACGTGATTCATGTGACCAAAAATAAAGCATACTTTTGGGATTATTTATAGTGTTGTGGTCGATAACTGTGTGCAATTAGCAATACATTCCACTTATTAAGCTGAATAGACACATGCATATACAATTGATTCATATGAGAAAATTAGTTATATATTTAGTATATTTTTGATGCAGATAATACCTATATATGTATAGCTTGTGCAAAATCAGTTAATTTAATTGAGTATAATTAACACTTGAGCAGACGCTTGTCAAATAGACCGCAAAAAAATACATACGCACACATTAACATCATATGTGTGTTAAATTTGAAGACGGAAATTCTAATAGAGCGATTTGGAAGTGAAAGCTTACTTAAATTATTCATGTATTTATTCGATTCATGAATCATTCTTTAAAAAATGTATATTTAAAATAAAAAAATTTAAAA